TTTTTTTTTCCAAAGCAAAGTTAAAAACAATCCACTGGATTTTGTTTCCAAGTTTGAAGACGTTTCTCTTCCATCCAAGAAGCTTTTTCAATTCAAAATGTCAGAAATAGCGTTGAGTTCGAGGTTTTATGCAGCAGCCCAACAAAGCCTTGCTTTTGTTTAGAAAACATGCAAATTCGGAGTGGGGGTCATTTGGCTTCTTCTGTTAGCCTGCAATGTCCCATACCTGTCTATGTCTCTGAAAGGGGGGTCGTAAAAGGGAATTGTTGACCTGAATAGGTGAGGTCTTCTGTTTCCCTGTGAAGAAGTGGGGGTTGTAATTACAGCCGGAAGGGATCAACTCAATCGCTGAATTGCAGTGGTGTCAAAATTTCACACATTTGTTACTTATCAGAATCAGAAATACTTTAATAATCCCAGAGGGAAATTACTTTTGTTACACGCCCCAGTAGAAGTATAGTTACTGCAGTTTAAAATCACTCTGGTAAAAGTTGAAGTATCAACTTGACCTCTTTACTCAAGTAAAAGTGAAAAAGTTTGTGCTCCAGAAACTACTTAAAGTATAAAATTATAAACTAATCTTTAAAAAAACAGCCAGATGCCACTGTATGAATTAAAAGCTACATTTTTCGACTATTTCTATAAATTCTCAGAGATAGGGCCAAGGATGAGGGAGGTCTTGTTGGTCTCTGTCTCCCGATACGCTCTCACCTGTGTCTGACCTTTCAGACATTCCAACATCTTTTTCTGAATCCCACATTGTAGCATGGCATAAACAATTAACGTTAACAGTTTGAAGAACACCTGCTTGCTTCTGATGATTTCCTTTAGCTAACCAATGAGTGTTTGCCTTCTATGACTCATCCAATCACACTAGTTTTCACTAGATGTGTGTGGAGCCAATGATCTGCATTGGATGGAGCACATGACAGGAAATAAAGATTTAGAAACATTAAACCAGGAGTAACCAATTAAAAAAATCAGTGGGTCTGAATAAAGAAAATCATCAAACAGTAAATGTCCAGATACATTTTTAATGATCTGTTACTTTAAACAGAATTAACACTGAAATAAAATGAGGTATTTATGCATTCATGTTATACATTGAATTTTGAAATAAAAAAAAAATAAAAAAAAATAGAAACTGCCAAAAATTGCATCCCGTGCTATCTCAGAGGAGTTAACACTGTATTCCTGTATATCCATCAGTAGTTAAAGGTCAAGGGTCAGTAAATGCTCATTCTGCCTGTAAAATAATGACAGCGTAATTGTCGCTTTATGATCTGAAGCCTCATTTGGAGCTTTTAAACAGGATTTTGAAAAACTTTGATAATTTGCTGCTGTAATATTATAGATTTAGAATTTAGAATAAAAAGCTAGCAGATGTGCATAATTAAACAATAACAGAAATACAATTATAGAGCATTCAGTATGGTAAGAAAGCCCACACTGTTTCTGAATAAATACATCATTGTATGAGTTAAGTTCTGTTCCGTTTATGCCTCTTACCTTGTAAGTGTGAAATGTCCCATACTCCTGAATGCACCATAGCTATCTGACACTCGCAAATGCATCACACTGGTCTGTGACACTGGGCTGTGTAGATGTGCATTTGATTTTCCGCTTTAGCCAAAGCTTTGCAGTTTCCAAACTCATGTCGGCATCACTGTTTATTGTTGTGTGTCAATAACAAGAGACTACAACAAATAAATCAGCCGTACCTCGGACAAAATCTTTGGATTTAATGTTGTTCATAACAACCATACTTTTGTAAATTAATCTGCCAAACAACCACAATTTTTTTCCGACGAAAGGAATATTTAAACGTTTTTATATCATTAATATAACAATAAGTAGCTCCATTGGTCATATTTTAATCCGTTTTCCTCGTCGATTGTCGCAGTTGTACAGAGCGAAGCGCGCTCCTGTGAGTGGGGATGCATATCTTAGCAGGGATGCACTTTTCGGCATAACACCGGACACGTTCCTCTAATCTGTGACCTCTGCATTAAGCCAAGAGTAATGAGTAACGTTTGTTTTAAAAATGTAAGGATTAGAAAGTAGAGATACTTGTATGAAAATGTAATGAGTAGAAGTCAGAAGTAGGAGGGAAAATAAGTAATGGAGTAACGAATAGATACCTAAAAAGTGTACTTAAGTACTGTAACAAAGTATTTGTACTTCATTACTTGACACCTCTGCTGAATTGTAGGTTTTATGTTTTCTAAAGAAAAACAAAGCTTTGTTGGGCTACTGTATAAAGCATTTATCTCAACACGATTCCTGACTATTTGATTTGAAAAGCTTCCTGAATGGGAAGCAAAAAAGTCTTCAAACCTGGGAAACAAAGTCCAGTGGATTGTTTTCTAACTTTTTTTGGAATGACTATGACCATGATGACTGAGAATCTTCACCAGCAACATGTCACTCTTTCA